CATTCCTGGTGCCTTGCTGTGTGAAGACAGCACTTAACCCCAGCCCTGTCCTCCCACCCTCCCAGAAATGTATTCACTTTTAAAGAGGCAGCAGAGGAACCAGAATAGACATGAAGCTTTTAATGACTGTAGATCAAAGTGGACTAAATTTGAGATGCAGGGTTGAGAGAGAGGACTGCAGGAAGGCTGCTGTCACTGAGCACAGAGGGACACTGGGCACTTCCAGGACACGCAGGAGATGCCACTGAGCTTCAAAGTGACACTCCTCCATCAACACACACTGCAGATCAGCCACTTTCTAGAAGGACCTCTGCCATCTGGAACTTCATGAAAAAATAAGGTTAAACACCTACAGGAGGAGCTGAAACCCCAGATCCAGCCCTGGGGACAGAACCTGACAACAGGAGCATGGGATGAACTCAGGGCTGTGTCTCAGATGAGCTCTAACCCATGCTGCACCTGGAGACAGGTTGGATGGGCTGGTGAGCCCAGTCAGGCACCCAAAATTCCTGTCTCCTCCATGGAAAGCTTCCTCTCCTGGTGATTTATTGCCTTTGTGCAAAAAACACAGGGATGGGCTTTGCTCCACATCTTAGTGCACAAAACCCAGACAGAGACGATTCTAGAACTGCAGGAGAGTCTGGACAAGCCACTGGTGGGGTGGGGGGTGGAGAGTTAGAGCTCTGGGGTGACAGCTACTACTTCCAGCCCTGGGAATGGCTCTTTTGCCCTTTGGTGACTTGCTCAGGTGCTGAGCAAGCAGCTCCTGTGGGGCAATGGGGACAGACATGGGGACACTCAGCTCTAACCTTTCATTGAGACCTTCTGGGGTGGCTTTCTGACCTGACCTCATGTGTCTTGGTACCTCTTTGGCTCAAACACACTGCTGCACAGGAGAGCTTTAAGCTCCATGTTCATTTCCCTGGAAAAGCCACCTCTCCTCACCCACCCCCAGATTCTGAGAATCACCTGCTCCAGCCAGTGAGTACCCAGCAGGGCTCCACAGCTACAGAGAGCAGTGAAGCACTAACTGCTCCCCAGCCCAATCAGGGCAATAAAAAGTATTGTAAGACACCCAGAGGTCTTCTCTTGAAAGCTGCACAGCACTCAGGACTCAGACCAGGTCACCCAAGATGCTGGAGGCACCCAAGAAGCAGCTTGGTGGACAGAAGAAGCAAGCAAAGCATGAAGGCAAGGGTAGAAGTGAGAGAAGCTCAGATTTCGTAGAAATCCACGTGGGCACCAGAGGGGAAGGTGTTTTCCTCCAGGAGGTTCACCAGCTTCTGGGCTGACACACTGCAGTCTATCAGCTGCTGGCTCTGCTGCAGGCTCTGGAAAAACTGACGCATCTCAGGGTCTCCAGTCTTGGTGCGGGCCAAGAGCTGCATGTCTGTGTCCAGAGGACCTGGGGAAAGAGCCACAACAGCAGAAGGCACCACTTGAGGAGAAAGCAAAATCTGGGGCTCATTTCCCTCTCTGTACCTAACTCAGCTGCAGGAATATTCCACCCACCAAGCCAGGAGAAAATGAACAGCTCCTCACCCGGGGCGTAGTTGAGCACACGGACATCGGGCTCCTCGAGTGCCAAGACCTGGAACATCATGTCCCGGGAAGCCTTCCCGCTGCAGTACAGGGCCCAGTTCTTGAAGGGCTTCACAGCACAGAGTGAGGAGATGTTCACCACCGTCCTGCTCGAGCCGGGCCGTGTCCCAAAGGCCTGCAGGGCTGTGGAGGTGAGGCACAGTGCTGAGGTGACGTTGAAGGCGAAGTAGCTGTTGATCTCGTCTGGGTCGGTGAGGTCGAGGAAGGATTTGGAGATGTCTCCCAGGGAGCCTAGGAAGGGAAGACAAATGAGTTAAAGATGGGTCTGACAACCCAGGAGGTCCCTTTTGCTCCTACATTTCTACATGCAACACTATCCCCACTTTGTCAGCCCAGGCTCCAGCAGGGTCTCCCAGCAGCACCAGGAGCTCAGCACAGCCTGGCTCTGCTCGTGGCTTTGGGGTCACCCACTGAACCAACAGCAGGGACAGGGAGAGCAGCCCTGCCAAAACAAACAGCTCCAGCCTGAAGTACAAGGTCCCCACCAGCCACCACGGGCTCTCCTGCACAAAACCACATCGGTGAAAGACTCAACCCTCGCAGCAGCTTCGACCCGCTGGAACGCGCGTTCTTATTTCTAGTGATAAGGGGTCAATACAAGGCACCAAGAGCCAACAGACACTGGATGCTGCAAGCGATGTGCCTGCAAGGAAGGGCTGGAAGTGCCTCGGAAGGTTTGTGCCCTGGGAGCAGAGCAGCAGGAGGCTGCAGGTGGGGGGGGGCAGCTGCTCTTGTGCCACCAGTAACAGCTACAAACTGGGAACCAGCAAAGCCCTGGGATACCGGCAGCCGGGACCCCGCTCTGCTCCCCGTATTCACCACTGAAATAAACTCACAAGAAGCAGGCAGGATGAAACGCCTGCTGCTCCTTCGGTTATTTACTGGCACCCAAAGCACCCACCGAGCCCCGCTAACCCGG